CGTCTGAGAATGGTTTCCCGTGTAGGGCAATGAGTTGAGCTACTTCATAACTGGCTATTGTTGTATTTTCTTGAGCTTTGTTAGCACGGGAAAAAAAACCTGCTGCTGCGTTAGCAGGCTAGCTGCCATTTGCTTTACCTTCTCTATCCGCTCGGCGCCAGTGTAGGACGTGAAGGTCTGATGTTTCATATTCTTGGTTCTTTCAGTAAAGTCACGTTATTGTTTCCCTTCAACGTGACTTTACCGAAAGAACCAAGAATGTTAATCACTGCAGTCACGAAAGCTTTAAATCAAAATTTAAAGTCTGATGTTTCGTTTCATAATGCCGTCGTACATTGTACTCTTTCATCACGGCAACACTCTCATTACAAATCAAACAAACACACTTCCCCTTGGTTTCTATGAAAAAAATATTCATTTTTCCACCGAGTCTGAAATTTTCTGCACTCGCTTGCAATCTTGCGTCTCTTCGGTTCAGGCATTTCTGGTGACCCTGAGCAAATGTTTTCTTCGATTGCTTGCTTTGTGGAGAAGCTGCCTTGATCAAGACAATAGCGCCACCTAAACTAAGAAGTGCAATACAGTGGGCCGTAGTCCATTATATTTTTAGACTTTGATACGGGCCAATTAAAAATAGATGGCGGGCCGCAGTTGGCCCGCGGGCCGTAGTTCGGACACCCCTGCACTACACTATACACTACAGTAGTGCTGTACTAGTATATTACACTATACACTACACTACACACTAGTGCTGTACTAGTATACTACACTATACACTACACTATACACTACACTATACATTACACACTACACTATACACTACACTATACACTAGTGCTGTACTAGTATACTACACTATACACTACACTATACACTAGTGCTGTACTAGTATACTACACTATACACTACACTATACACTACACTATACATTAGTGCTGTACTAGTCTCTGTTTGAGCGCTGCTGTTTGCAAGTCTCTGTGCTAGTCTCTGTGAGCGCTGCTGTGTGCGAGTCTCTGTGTGAGAGCTGCTGTGTGCAAGTCTCTGTGTGAGTGAAGCTGTGTGTAAGTCTCTGTGTGAGTGAAGTTGTGTGTAAGTCTCTGTGTGAGTGAAGCTGTGTGTAAGTCTCTGTGTGAGTGCTGCTGTGTGCAAGTCTCTGTGTGAGCGCTGCTGTGTGCAGGCCACTGTGTGAGTGCCGCTGTGTGCAAGTCTCCGTGTGAGTGCCGCTGTGTGTAAGTCTCTGTGTGAGCGCTGCTGTGTGCAAGTCTCTGTGTGAGAGCTGCTGTGTGCTAGTCTCTGTGTGAGAGCTGCTGTGTGCTAGTCTCTGTGTGAGTGCTGCTGTGTGCAAGTCTCTGTGTGAGTGCTGCTGTGTGCAAGCCTCTGTATGAGTGCCGCTGTGTGTAAGTCTCTGTGTGAGTGCTGGTGTGTGCTAGTCTTTGTGTGAGTGCCGCTGTGTGCAAGCCTCTGTGTGTGTGAGTGAAGCTGTGTGCAAGTCTCTGTGTGAGTGCTGCTGTGTGCAAGTCTCTGTGTGAGCGCTGCTGTGTGCAGGCCACTGTGTGAGTGCCGCTGTGTGCAAGTCTCTGTGTGAGTGCCGCTGTGTGCAAGTCTCTGTGTGAGTGCCGCTGTGTGCAAGTCTCTGTGTGAGTGCCGCTGTGTGCTAGTCTCTGTGTGAGAGCTGCTGTGTGCTAGTCTCTGTGTGAGTGCTGCTGTGTGCAAGTCTCTGTGTGAGCGCTGCTGTGTGCGAGTCTCTGTGTGAGTGCCGCTGTGTGTAAGTCTCTGTGTGAGTGCTGGTGTGTGCTAGTCTTTGTGTGAGTGCCGCTGTGTGCAAGCCTCTGTGTGTGTGAGTGAAGCTGTGTGCAAGTCTCTGTGTGAGTACTGCTGTGTGCAAGTCTCTGTGTGAGTGAAGCTGTGTGTAAGTCTCTGTGTGAGTGAAGCTGTGTGCAAGTCTCTGTGCGAGTCTCTGTGTGAGCACTGCTGTGTGCGAGTCTCTGTGTGAGTGCCGCTGTGTGCAAGTCTCTGTGTGAGTGCCACTGTGTGCTATTCTCTGTGTGAGCGCTGCTGTGTGCGAGTCTCTGTGTGAGCGCTGCTGTGTGCAAGTCTCTGTGTGAGTGAAGCTGTGTAAGTCTCTGTGTGAGTGCTGCTGTGTGCAAGTCTCTGTGTGAGCGCTGCTGTGTGCGAGTCTCCGTGTGAGCGCCGCTGTGTGCAAGTCTCTGTGTGAGTGCCGCTGTGTGCAAGTCTCTGTGTGAGTGCTGGTGTGTGCAAGCCTCTGTGTGAGCGCTGCTGTGTGTGGAGCAGTGAGTGCGGAGCTGCTGAGAGCAAGAGCTGCCGTAGGTAGGTTAGCGAGGTGTAAAGTAGATAGGGGAATTTGGTTAACAGAAGTGACCCAATACACAGAGATAGGAGTGCCTACAACTGGTACAAGAATTGGCTAATAAAGTGTAAGCAGGTGACCTGTTATGTGTCCGCCTGTGTGATTCTACACGACACCTACACTACTACAGATTCTGACCTACAATGTAAATACTACAGATTCTGATCCTACAGTCTAAATACTACAAATTCTGATCCTACAGTCTAAATACTACAGATTCTGACCCTACAGTCTAAATACTACAGATTCTGATCCTACAGTGTAAATACTACAGATTCTGACCCTACAGTCTAAATACTACAGATTCTGACCCTACAGTGTAAATACTACAGATTCTGATCCTACAGTCTAAATACTACAGATTCTGACCCTACAGTCTAAATACTACAGATTCTGACCCTACAGTGTAAATACTACAGATTCTGATCCTACAGTCTAAATACTACAGATTCTGACCCTACAGTGTAAATACTACAGATTCTGACCTACAGTCTAAATACTACAGATTCTGACCCTACAGTCTAAATACTACAGATTCTGACCCTACAGTCTAAATACTACAGATTCTGACCCTACAGTGTAAATACTACAGATTCTGATCCTACAGTCTAAATGCTACAGATTCTGATCCTACAGTGTAAATACTACAGATTCTGACCTACAGTGTAAATACTACATATTCTGATCCTACAGTGTAAATACTACAGATTCTGATCATACAGTGTAAATACTACAGATTCTGATCCTACAGTCTAAATACTACAGATTCTGATCCTACAGTCTAAATACTACAGATTCTGATCCTACAGTCTAAATACTACAGATTCTGATCCTACAGTCTAAATACTACAGATTCTGATCCTACAGTGTAAATACTACAGATTCTGACCCTACAGTCTAAATACTACAGATTCTGACCTACAGTCTAAATACTACAGATTCTGACCCTACAGTGTAAATACTACAGATTCTGATCCTACAGTCTAAATACTACAGATTCTGACCCTACAGTGTAAATACTACAGATTCTGACCTACAGTCTAAATACTACAGATTCTGACCCTACAGTCTAAATACTACAGATTCTGACCCTACAGTCTAAATACTACAGATTCTGACCCTACAGTGTAAATACTACAGATTCTGATCCTACAGTCTAAATGCTACAGATTCTGATCCTACAGTCTAAATACTACAGATTCTGATCCTACAGTGTAAATACTACAGATTCTGACCCTACAGTCTAAATACTACAGATTCTGACCTACAGTCTAAATACTACAGATTCTGACCCTACAGTGTAAATACTACAGATTCTGATCCTACAGTCTAAATACTACAGATTCTGACCCTACAGTCTAAATACTACAGATTCTGACCCTACAGTGTAAATACTACAGATTCTGATCCTACAGTCTAAATACTACAGATTCTGACCCTACAGTGTAAATACTACAGATTCTGACCTACAGTCTAAATACTACAGATTCTGACCCTACAGTCTAAATACTACAGATTCTGACCCTACAGTCTAAATACTACAGATTCTGACCCTACAGTGTAAATACTACAGATTCTGATCCTACAGTCTAAATGCTACAGATTCTGATCCTACTGTCTAAATACTACAGATTCTGATCCTACAGTGTAAATACTACAGATTCTGACCCTACAGTCTAAATACTACAGATTCTGACCCTACAGTCTAAATACTACAGATTCTGATCCTACAGTGTAAATACTACAGATTCTGACCTACAGTCTAAATACTACAGATTCTGACCTACAGTCTAAATACTACAGATTCTGACCCTACAGTCTAAATACTACAGATTCTGACCCTACAGTCTAAATACTACAGATTCTGATCCTACAGTCTAAATACTACAGATTCTGACCCTACAGTCTAAATATTACAGATTCTGACCCTCCAGTGTAAATACTACAGATTCTGACCCTACAGTCTAAATACTACAGATTCTGATCCTACAGTCTAAATACTACAGATTCTGACCCTACAGTCTAAATACTACAGATTCTGACCCTACAGTGTAAATACTACAGATTCTGATCCTACAGTCTAAATACTACAGATTCTGACCCTACAGTGTAAATACTACAGATTCTGATCCTACAGTCTAAATACTACAGATTCTGACCCTACAGTGTAAATACTATAGAGTCTGACCTACAGTGTAAATACTACAGATTCTGACCTACAGTGTAAATACTACATATTCTGATCCTACAGTGTAAATACTACAGATTCTGATCCTACAGTGTAAATACTACAGATTCTGATCCTACAGTCTAAATACTACAGATTCTGATCCTACAGTCTAAATACTACAGATTCTGACCCTACAGTCTAAATACTACAGATTCTGACCCTACAGTGTAAATACTACAGATTCTGACCTACAGTGTAAATACTACAGATTCTGACCTACAGTGTAAATACTACATATTCTGATCCTACAGTGTAAATACTACAGATTCTGATCCTACAGTGTAAATACTACAGATTCTGATCCTACAGTCTAAATACTACAGATTCTGATCCTACAGTCTAAATACTACAGATTCTGATCCTACAGTCTAAATACTACAGATTCTGATCCTACAGTCTAAATACTACAGATTCTGATCTTACAGTCTAAATACTACAGATTCTGATCCTACAGTCTAAATACTACAGATTCTGACCCTACTGGTAGCGGCGTCTGTTCGAGGCGCCTTGTGCGGCATCTTGCCGCTCGCTGCGAGAGACGAAGACGCAGGACAAAGAGGCGGTGAGAGGCGCACACGGGGGGACACGGGGAGACAAAGACGGAGGGGGAGACACGGGGGGGGGGGGGGGGGGGCGGGGGGGAGACAAGGGGGACAAATAAGAGGGGGACAGAGAGACACACACAGACAGAGAGACACACAGAGAGACACAGACACACAGAGACAGATAGAGACACAGTCATAATAAAGGTTTTTGGGTAGATCGCATTATTTATAAATGTGTCGTAACCCTCCACCACCCGACTAATATTGGTCGCGAAAGCCTACGTGTTAAACTGAGAGACACACAGATAGACAGAGAGACACACAGACACACACAGGCTGGATTGTGTGAGGAGCTCACAAATCCTTGAAAGATCTGGGCAAGGTCCCATCGGTGAGCTCCTCCGGCAGGCAAGGCTGCGATGGCTGGGTCATGTAGCCCGCATGCCCAGCCACCGCATGCCGAAACAGCTTTTGTTCGGCCGGATCGAGGGGGCTAAACGGGAGAAGGCTCGTGAAGGACGCTGCTAATGGGCAGTGCCAGGCTAGGTGCACCTTGAGGCTACTGGGCAGTTGGAGGCAGTCGCCCTCCAACAACAACGGAGGGCGGAGGAGCGACGCTCACAACGAGCGGAGCGCCGGGTGGCTAAAGCACAGCAGGTTGGCACAGTAGGGGGCACAGGTGGTGCATCAGCCAGTCATCTCAGTCAGTCGACCCGTGGCACCTGGGTCTGCCCCGTGACCTCCTGCCAGCGGGCGTTCGACACTTCACGTGGCCTCAACGGGCACCTAGCCTGGCACAAGCGTCGTGGTGACGTCATCGCCACTTAGCGGTTGTTGTTGTTTGGGTAAAGTGTGGGTGACTCCCTCCTCTTGGTGGTGGTGGTGGAGTAAAGTGTGGGTGACTCCCACCTCTTGGTGATGGTGGTGGTGGGGTAAAGTGTGGGTGACTCCCACCTCTTGGTGGTGGTGGTGGTGGGGTAAAGTGTGGGTGACTGCCACCTCTTGGTGGTGGTGGTGGTGGGGTAAAGTGTGGGTGACTCCCTCTTGGTGATGGTGGTGGAGTAAAGTGTGGGTGACTCCCACCTCTTGGTGGTGGGGTAAAGTGTGGGTGACTCCCTCCTCTTGGTGGTGGTGGTGGGGTAAAGTGTGGGTGACTCCCACCTCTTGGTGATGGTGGTGGTGGGGTAAAGTGTGGGTGACTCACTCCTCTTGGTGGTGGTGGTGGTGGGGTAAAGTGTGGGTGACTCCCTCCTCTTGGTGGTGGTGGTTGTGGGGTAAAGTGTGGGTGACTCCCTCCTCTTGGTGGTGATGGTGGTGGTGGTGGGGTAAAGTGTGGGTGACTCCCTCCTCTTGGTGGTGGTGGTGGTGTAAAGTGTGGGTGACTCCCTCCTCTTGGTGGTGGTGGTGGGGTAAAGTGTGGGTGACTCACTCCTCTTGGTGGTGGTGGTGGTGGGGTAAAGTGTGGGTGACTCCCTCCTCTTGGTGGTGGTGGTTGTGGGGTAAAGTGTGGGTGACTCCCTCCTCTTGGTGGTGGTGGTGGTGGTGGTGTAAAGTGTGGGTGACTCCCTCCTCTTGGTGGTGGTGGTGGGGTAAAGTGTGGGTGACTCCCTCCTCTTGGTGGTGGTGGTGGGGTGAAGTGTGGGTGACTCCCTCCTCTTGGTGGTGGTGGTGGTGGGGTAAAGTGTGGGTGACTCCCTCTCCGTAGTGGTGGTAGTGGTGCAGTGAAGTGTGGGTAATGCCCAGTGGCGGAGCCAGTAGGGTGGGGGGTGGGGTGACACGTGCCCCCCCCCCCCCCCCCAATGATCCGATCGAAATGAGCGATTTCGATCGGATAATTATTAGTAATAAATCGACATTTTGCGACCCTCCCCCCCCCACCCACTGCCACCGTGTAGCGTTTTATGACGTGCCCGGGACTCCACGAGATGACAGGACAATAGTCGGAGTCCATAATTGTCGATAAGTAACGGCAAAGCGGTTACCAGCGACTCACGGGATTGTGCGCAGTTGGGTAGTGCAGAGATGATGGGGCGAACAAAAGCGCTGCCCGCAAAGCAGTCGTGGTTTGAGACGTGGTTTGAGACGCGGTTTGAGTCGTGGTTTGAGACGTGGTTTGAGTCGTGGTTTGAGACGCGGTTTGAGACGCGGTTTGAGTCGTGGTTTGAGTCGTCGTTTGAGTCGTGGTTTGTGACGTGGTTTGAGTCGTGGTTTGAGTCGTGGTTTGAGACGCGGTTTGTGACGTGGTTTGAGTCGTGGTTTGAGACGCGGTTTGTGACGTGGTTTGAGTCGTGGTTTGAGTCGTGGTTTGAGACGCGGTTTGAGACGTGGTTTGAGTCGTCGTTTGAGTCGTGGTTTGTGACGTGGTTTGAGTCGTAGTTTGAGTCGTGGTTTGAGACGCGGTTTGAGACGCTTTTTGAGGTGCGGTTTGAGTCGCGGTTTGAGTCGCGGTTTGAGACGTGGTTTGAGTCGTGGTTTGAGACGTGGTTTGAGACGTGGTTTGAGACGTGGTTTGAGACGTGGTTTGAGACGTGGTTTGAGATGTGGTTTGAGTCGTGGTTTGAGACGTGGTTTGAGTCGTGGTTTGAGACGTGGTTTGAGTCGTGGTTTGAGACGTGGTTTGAGACGCGGTTTGAGACGTGGTTTGAGTCGTGGTTTGAGACGTGGTTTGAGTCGTGGTTTGAGACGTGGTTTGAGTCGTGGTTTGAGACGTGGTTTGAGACGTGGTTTGAGACGTCGTTTGAGACGTGGTTTGAGTCGTGGTTTGAGTCGTGGTTTGAGTCGTGGTTTGAGTCGTGGTTTGAGACGTGGTTTGAGACGTGGTTTGAGACGTGGTTTGAGACGTGGTTTGAGTCGTGGTTTGAGACGTGGTTTGAGACGTGGTTTGAGACGTGGTTTGAGTCGTGGTTTGAGACGTGGTTTGAGACGTGGTTTGAGACGTGGTTTGAGACGTGGTTTGAGACGTGGTTTGAGTCGTGGTTTGAGACGTGGTTTGAGACGTGGTTTGAGACGTGGTTTGAGACCTGGTTTGAGACGTGGTTTGAGACGTGGTTTGAGTCGTGGTTTGAGACGTCGTTTGAGACGTCGTTTGAGTCGTGGTTAGAGACGTGGTTTGAGACGTGGTTTGAGACGTCGTTTGAGTCGTGGTTAGAGACGTGGTTTGAGACGTGGTTTGAGTCGTGGTTAGAGACGTGGTTTGAGTCGTGGTTTGAGACGTGCCATTGCCTCGAATGCTCGTTCCACACACCGAGCCGGTCCACCGCTTACTCTTCATGCGCCGTCGAACGCCGCGCGCGCATCCAATAGACAGCAAGGGACAAGTCCTTGCTTGCTAACAACTCCTCTATAATTTTTCATTTGCTGGAGGGGTTGCCGCCCCCCGCCTGAAAATCCTGGCTCCGCCTCTGATGATGCCGAACCTGTTAACTCTCAGGACGCCGCTGATTGAGCGGCGAGGAGGAGGAGGAGGAGAGGAAGAGTAGGCAAAGTACAACTCTACAGAGTGGGCGAGGGGGCCTCTGCAACAGCAGTGGCGGTGAGTCGACAGTTGCAGGGCTGCGGTGTCACCGGTCGTGGCATCACCGGTAGTGGTGGGGCACCGCCACCATCACCAGCACCACCTCCACCATCACCAGCACCACCACCTCCACCACCAGCACCACCAGCACCACCACCACCAGCACCACCACCAGCACCACCACCACCAGCACCACCAGCACCACCACCAGCACCACCTCCAGCACCACCACCAGCACCACCTCCACCATCACCACCACCAGCACCACCACCACCAGCACCAGCACCACCATCACCTCCACCACCATCACCACCTCCACCACCTCCACCACCATCACCAGCACCACCACCAGCACCACCAGCACCAGCACCACCACCAGCACCACCTCCACCATCACCACCAGCACCATCACCAGCACCACCTCCACCATCACCACCAGCACCAGCACCGCCACATCCACCAGCACCAGCACCATCACCTCCACCACCAGCACCACCAGCACCACCACCACCAGCACCAGCACCACCTCCACCAGCACCACCACCAGCACCAGCACCACCGCCACCACCAGCACCACCTCCACCAGCACCTCCACCACCAGCACCACCACCACCAGCACCACCACCAGCACCACCTCCACCACCAGCATCACCACCACCAGTACCACCAGCACCACCAGCACCACCACCAGCACCACCACCAGCACCACCAGCACCACCACCACCAGCACCATCACCACCAGCACCAGCACCACCACCATCACCACCACCAGCACCACCACCACCAGCACCACCACCAGCACCACCACCACCTCCACCACCAGCACCACCACCACCACCACAGAGTGCTCCCGTGCCAGGCCGGCTCTAGGCCGATGTGTGGGCCTTCTGCTGCGCTTCCCGCAGATGGAGGGGTGCGTCAAAGTGACGCTCATCAAGGAGGAGTACGAGGAAGGGCAGCTCAGCGCCGACGCTTGCCCAGACCTCATCGTCAAGTTCGAGGAGACGGACGACGACGCCGGTGGCGGCGACGGCGTCGGTGAGATCGCACGTTGCTCCCTCGCACGTTGCTTCCTCAGGGCATCTCCGGTTTCTTCCTCCTCCCTCCCCCCTCCTCCTCCCTCCCTCCCCCCTCCTCCTCCCTCCCCCCTCCTATACACTACACTATACACTACACACTACACTATACACTACACTACTATACACTACACTATACACTACTATATACTACACTATACACTACACTATACACTACACTATACACTACACACTACACTATACACTACACACTACACTATACACTACACTACACTACTACACTATACACTACACTATACACTACACTATACACTACACACTACACTATACACTACACACTATACACTACACTATACACTACATTATACACTACACTATACACTACACACTACACTATACACTACACTATACACTACACACTATACACTACACTATACACTACACTATACACTACACACTACACTACACACTACACTACACAGGCAGTCCTCTACTTACGATGGAGATGGGTTACCACGACCCCACCGTAAGATGGAAGTGTCGTAAGTCGGGGACGATCTGTGTCGTTCAAACACCGATTTGTTCGAGTTCTGGTGCATCCAATATCCGTGGTTCTGCATCACCACATCACTACTGTAATCATCATCATCATCATCACAACATCACCACATCACTACTGTAATCATCATCATAACAACATCACCACATCACTACATCACTACTGTAATCATCATCATCACATCACCACATCACTACTGTAATCATCATCACAACATCACTACATCACTATTTTAATCATCATAACATGACCACATCACTACATCACTACTGTAATCATCATCATCACAACATCACCACATCACTACATCACTACTGTAATCATCATCATCATCATAACAACATCACCACATCACTACTGTAATCATCATCATCATCACAACATCACCACATCACTACTGTAATCATCATCATAACAACATCACCACATCACTACATCACTACTGTAATCATCATCATCATAACATCACTACATCACTATTGTAATCATCACCATCATCATCAACATCACATCACTACATCACTACTGTAATCATCATAACAACATCACCACATCACTACACCACTACTGTAATCATCATCATCACAACATCACCACATCACTACTGTAATCATCATCATCATCACAACATCACCACATCACTACTGTAATCATCATCATCATCACAACATCACCACATCACTACTGTAATCATCATCATCACAACATCACTACATCACCACATCACTACTGTAATCATCATCATCACATCACTACATCACTACTGTAATCATCATCATCATCATCACAACATCACCACATCACTACATCACTACTGTAATCATCATCACAACATCACCACATCACTACATCACTACTGTAATCAACATCATCACCACATCACTACATCACTACTGTAATCATCATCATCACCACATCACCACATCGCTACTGTAATCATCATCATCATCGCACGATGAACACAAGACGCATTCTCTCCCCGAACCGCAGCTCCTCCATGCCTGAACATCGTTAAAGTGGAAGGCACTCCGGAGAGACCCCAGCAGGAGGAGGGCGAGGAGGAGGAGGAGGTGACGGGGGACCGCCCAGGATTCCCGGAGACTCCGGGACGAGTCCCGGTCAAGGTGGAGGTCTGGGCGGAGGACGTCAAGAAGTTTGTCGAGGTGGAGCTGCTGGAAGAGGACGTTGGCCGAGGTGAGAGGGCACAGGGCGGAGGGGAGATCAAGGAGAGATTGAGAGAAAGAAAGGAGATATATTGAGAGATGTATACAGAGAGAAGAGAGATATTGAGAGATATATACAGAGAGAAGAGAAATATTGAGAGATATATACAGAGAGAAGAGAAATATTGAGATATATACAGAGAGAAGAGAGATATTGAGAGATATATACAGAGAAGATAAATATTGAGAGATATACAGAGAGAAGAGAAATATTTAGAGATATATACAGAGAGAAGAGATATATTGAGAGATATATACAGAGAGAAGAGAAATATTGAGAGATATATACAGAGAGAAGAGAGATATTGAGAGGAGAGATATTCCGTGTGCCTGGTTCCTCACCTTTGATGTCCTTGTGGTTGACAGAGAAGCTCCAATTTCATATCTCTCACTTACCATCCCTTCACTCCCTAGCTACACCACCCTCTCACTCACCATCCCTTCCCTCCCTAGCTACACCACCCTCTCACCATCCCTTCACTCCCTAGCTACACCACTCTCTCACTCACCATCCCTTCACTCCCTAGCTACACCACTCTCTCACTCACCATCCCTTCACTCCCTAGCTACACCACTCTCTCACTCACCATCCCTTCACTCCCTAGCTACACCACTCTCTCACTCACCATCCCTTCACTCCCTAGCTACACCACTCTCTCACCATCCCTTCACTCCCTAGCTACACCACTCTCTCACTCACCATCCCTTCGCTCCCTAGCTACACCACTCTCTCACTCACCATCCCTTCACTCCCTAGCTACACCACCCGCTCACTCACCATCCCTTCCCTCCCTAGCTACACCACCCTCTCACTCACCATCCCTTCACTCCCTAGCTACACCACTCTCTCACTCACCATCCCTTCGCTCCCTAGCTACACCACTCTCTCACTCACCATCCCTTCGCTCCCTAGCTACACCACCCTCTCACTCACCATCCCTTCACTCCCTAGCTACACCACTCTCTCACTCACCATCCCTTCGCTCCCTAGCTACACCACTCTCTCACTCACCATCCCTTCACTCCCTAGCTACACCACTCTCTCACTCACCATCCCTTCACTCCCTAGCTACACCACTCTCTCACTCACCATCCCTTCACTCCCTAGCTACACCACTCTCTCACTCACCATCCCTTCCCTCCCTAGCTACACCACCCTCTCACTCACCATCCCTTCACTCCCTAGCTACACCACTCTCTCACTCACCATCCCTTCGCTCCCTAGCTACACCACTCTCTAACTCACCATCCCTTCACTCCCTAGCTACACCACTCTCTCACTCACCATCCCTTCGCTCCCTAGCTACACCACTCTCTCACTCACCATCCCTTCACTCCCTAGCTACACCACCCTCTCACCATCCCTTCACTCCCTAGCTACACCACTCTCTCACTCACCATCCCTTCACTCCCTAGCTACACCACTCTCTCACTCACCATCCCTTCACTCCCTAGCTACACCACTCTCTCACCATCCCTTCACTCCCTAGCTACACCACTCTCTCACTCACCATCCCTTCGCTCCCTAGCTACACCACTCTCTCACTCACCATCCCTTCACTCCCTAGCTACACCACCCGCTCACTCACCATCCCTTCCCTCCCTAGCTACACCACCCTCTCACTCACCATCCCTTCACTCCCTAGCTACACCACTCTCTCACTCACCATCCCTTCGCTCCCTAGCTACACCACTCTCTCACTCACCATCCCTTCGCTCCCTAGCTACACCACCCTCTCACTCACCATCCCTTCACTCCCTAGCTACACCACTCTCTCACTCACCATCCCTTCGCTCCCTAGCTACACCACTCTCTCACTCACCATCCCTTCACTCCCTAGCTACACCACTCTCTCACTCACCATCCCTTCACTCCCTAGCTACACCACTCTCTCACTCACCATCCCTTCACTCCCTAGCTACACCACTCTCTCACTCACCATCCCTTCCCTCCCTAGCTACACCACCCTCTCACTCACCATCCCTTCACTCCCTAGCTACACCACTCTCTCACTCACCATCCCTTCGCTCCCTAGCTACACCACTCTCTCACTCACCATCCCTTCACTCCCTAGCTACACCACTCTCTCACTCACCATCCCTTCGCTCCCTAGCTACACCACTCTCTCACTCACCATCCCTTCACTCCCTAGCTACACCACCCTCTCACCATCCCTTCACTCCCTAGCTACACCACTCTCTCACTCACCATCCCTTCACTCCCTAGCTACACCACCCTCTCACTCACCATCCCTTCACTCCCTAGCTACACCACCCTCTCACTCACCGTCCCTTCACTCCCTGTATAGCTACACCACTCTCTCACCATCCCTTCACTCCCTAGCTACACCACTCTCTCAGTCACCATCCCTTCACTCCCTGTGTGTAGCTACACCACTCTCTCACCCACCATCCCTTCACTCCCTAGCTACACCACTCTCTCACTCACCATCCCTTCACTCCCTAGCTACACCACTCTCTCAGTCACCATCCCTTCACTTCCTGTGTGTAGCTACACCACCCTCTCACTCACCATCCCTTCACTCCCTTTGTGTATGTACGGCGCACCGGTGTGTAGTGTGGTATGTAGTGTATAGTGTAGTATACTAGTACAGCACTAGTGTAGTGTATAGTGTAGTATACTAGTACAGCACTACTGTAGTGTATAGTGTAGTATACTAGTACAGCACTAGTGTATAGTGTAGTGTATAGTGTAGTATACTAGTACAGCACTAGTGTGTAGTGTAGTGTATAGTGTAGTATACTAGTACAGCACTAGTAGTGTAGTGTATAGTGTAGTATACTAGTACAGCACTACTGTAGTGTATAGTGTGGAACACTAGTACAGCACTACTGTAGTGTATAGTGTAGTATACTAGTACAGCACTACTGTAGTGTATAGTGTAGTATACTAGTACATCACTAGTGTGTAGTGTATAGTGTAGTATACTAGTACAGCACTAGTGTAGTGTATAGTGTAGTATACTAGTACAGCACTACTGTAGTGTATAGTGTAGTGTACTAGTACAGCACTACTGTAGTGTATAGTGTAGTACACTAGTACAGTACTACTGTAGTGTATAGTGTAGTACACTAGTACAGCACTACTGTAGTGTATAGTGTAGTATACTAGTACAGCACTACTGTAGTGTATAGTGTAGTGCAGGGGTGTCCAAACTTCGGCCCGCGGGCCAACTGCGGCCCGCCATCCATTTTTAATTGGCCCGTATCAAAGTCTAAAAATATAATGGACTATGGCCCACTGTATTGCACTTCTTAGTTTAAACACTAGGTGGCGCTATTGTCTTGATCAAGGCAGCGTCTCCACAAACCAAGCAATCGAAGAAAAAAATTGCTCAGGGTCACCAGAAATGCCGGAACCGAAGAGACGCAAGATTGCAAGCGAGTGCAGAAAATTTCAGACTCGGTGGAAGAATTAATATTTTTTCATAGAAACCAAGGGGAAGTGTGTTTGTTTGATTTGTAATGAGAGTGTTGCCGTGATGAAAGAGTATAATGTACGACGGCATTATGAAACGAAACATCAGACTTTAAATTTTGATTTAAAGCTTTCGTGACTGCAGTGATTCATATTCTTGGTTCTTTCGGTAAAGTCACGTTGAAGGGAAACAATAATGTGACTTTACCGAAAGAACCAAGAATATGAAACATCAGACCTTCACGTCCTACACTGGCGCCGAGCGTAAAGAGAAGGTAAAGCAAATGGCAGCTAGCCTGCTAACGCAGCAGCAGGTTTTTTTCCGTGCTAACAAAGCTCAAGAAAATGCAACAATGGCCAGTTATGAAGTAGCTCGACTCATTGCCCTACACGGAAAACCTTTCTCAGACGGTGACTTCATCAAACAGTGCCTCGCTAAAGTCGTGGGAATAATGTGCCCGGAGAAAATTCAGGATTTCAACGATGATAGCATGTCCAGAAATACGGTTGTGCGGCGAATTGAAGACTTGTCGGCTAACTTACAACAGCAAGTGTCAGATAAAGCTTGTGCTTTCGATTTTTACTCGATTGCATGTGATGAGAGCACAGAAGCCACGGACACTGCACAGCCGTAATTTTTTTTGCGGGGAGTTGATAATTTTTGCATTACGGAGGAACTGCTCGATCTTCGGAGTCTAAAGGGGACAACAACTGGGAAGGACATGTTTGAAGCTGTGTCACATGCAATTGACCAGGCTGGATTTAAATGGGACAAGCTGTGTGGAATTGCAACGGATGGGGCTCTCTGGAAAAAGAGTTTGGACACCTCTGGTGTAGTGCATAGTTAATTAGTGTATTGTGTGTGGTGTATAGTGTAGTGTAGTGCATAGTGTAGTGTATAGTGTAGTGTATGTGTAGTATAGTATAGTATATAGTGTATGGCGTAGTGTATAGTGTATGGCGTAGTGTATAGTGTAGCCTAGTGTATAGTGTAGTGTGTAGCGTAGTGCGTGTCGTGTAGTGCAGTGTAAAAATGTATTCTAAAAGTAACGAGTCTTCAACTTCGCATGTAAAAGCACGCGGCTCCAGCGAGCGCGCGGGGGTGGACGTCCGCTGGCAGGCGACACCCCCCCCAACGTCACACCGACGCGTTCCCCCCTCCCCGCCCCCCCGCCCCCCCGCGTGGCACCGTGAGTGCAGCGCGGCACGAGGCCCAAGACACGTGGCCGCTGTGCGAGGGCTGCGGCCTGGAGCTCGGCCGCCGATGCCTCCGCCTGAAGGTGGACGACGCACTGGCGGCGGCACCGCCACCGCCGTCACCGCGGTCACCGCGGGCCTGCGCGCGGTGCGGCGACGCGATCGCCGTCGGCGCCGCAGCGTTTGTCTACGGCCAGCGGACGAGGCCGACGGAGGCCCGCGGAGAGGAGGAGGAGGAGGAGCGGCCGCCGCCGCCGGCGACGCCGCCGACGCGGCGCCCCGCGTCGCCGGCGTCCGACGGCAGGAAGCACGCGTGCCGGGAGTGCGGCAAGGCGTTCCTCTACCGGTGCCAGCTGAAGCGCCACAGCAGGACGCACACGGGCGAGAGGCCGCACGCCTGCGCCGAGTGCGGCAAGCGCTTCTCGCAGCGCTCCCACCTGGAGACGCACGCCCGCATCCACACGGGCGAGCGGCCGCACGCCTGCGCCGAGTGCGGCAAGGGCTTCCGCCAGCGCTCCAACCTCAAGATCCACGCGGCGACGCACACGGGCGAGCGGCCGCACGCCTGCGCCGACTGCGGCGAGCGCTTCTCCCACCGCTCGCACCTCGCGGCGCACTCGAGGACGCACGGCGCGGCCGGGGGCCCCGGCGCCCCCCGCGCCGGGGCCGCCCGGGCGTTCTCCAAGCGCTCGAGCCTCAGCGTGCACTCGCCGCCCCGCGCCGGCGTCAAGCCGTACGCGTGCGCCGAGTGCGGCAGGGGCTTCGCGAAGCGCTCCAACCTGAAGACGCACGCGCTGGCGCACGCCGGCGACCTGCCGCACCCGTGCGTCCAGTGCGGCAAGGGCTTCTGCTACCGCTACCAGCTGAAGCGGCACAGCAGGACGCACACGGGCGAGCGGCCGCACGCGTGCGCCGAGTGCGGCAAGGGCTTCACGCAGCGCTCGCACCTGGAGACGCACGCGCGCATCCACACGAGCGAGCGGCCGCACGCGTGCCTCGACTGCGGCAAGAGGTTCACGCAGCGCTCCAACCTCAAGATCCACGTCCTGACGCACGCCACCGAGAAGCCGTACGTGTGCGAGGGGTGCGGCAAGGGCTTCTCGCACCGCTCGTACCTGATCACGCACGCGCGCACCCACACGGGGGAGAGGCCGCACGCGTGCAAGGAGTGCGGCAAGGCGTTCGCGCAGCGCTCCAACCTCAACATCCACGCCCTGACGCACACGGGCGAGCGGCCGCACGTGTGCGTCCAGTGCGGCCGGGGCTTCACGCAGCACTCCAACCTGAAGACGCACGCGCTCACGCACGCCGCCGGGAAGCCGCGAGCGCGCAGGGGCCCTCGAAAAGTTCCGAGCTGAGGAGGAGTCGTCGTCCCCCGGCCCCGCTCAGTTCCGTTATCCTTCCCCGCGCCTCCCCCCCGCTGAACACGGCGGGCTACTCGCGGCGGGAACGAAGTGCAACGTGCGTACGCTACACGCCGGGCTCTCTACCCGCGCCGCATTTCATTGCGCGCGGTTTTTTCGTTGTTTTGTTTTTCCATTGGGTGCAAATTGTGAACAACGGCCATGTCAGACATTGGCTCATCTTTATCGGCATTGGAATTGGTTTCACTGTTTGATGGACATGGGGTCCCCGGTTCAAACCCCCCCGGCGGAAGGGAGGGAGGCCTCGTCTCCTTCAGCCGTGGATCTTAGTCTCCCCGTCTGGCCTGTTGCCCGAGATTTAGCAGGTGGGGATGACCAGACTAGGAGTTGACAGCCGAAGAGGGCGCAGAGGCCAGAGGTCAGTCCGGAGCCCGTGGACTTTGTACTCAAGGGCTGTCCGGTCCAAGGTCGGCGCCGGCTCTCAACATCGGGCAGGCGTCGGCGACGCCAGCGCATTGCACGCAACGCACGGGATGGTGATCTTGTCGACCCCCGGTGATTGCCAAACGTAAGTACACGTTCCAGCGTGGCAGTCTGGGACGCGCGCGCGCCGTTGAGAAGTCGCTTCACCGGCTACCCTGGTGGGGGGGTCAGAGCACGTGCGTACTCTGTTTAAGATGTGTGGATAATACTCTTTGGTTTTTTCGGTAAAGTCACGTAGGTAAAATAAAATAAAACAACTTAATGAAATCACGACGTTTCGGAGGCAACGCAAGCTTCCGTCCACAGGTGGAACAGTCACAGCAGAATAGCTGCGTCAAGTGGAGAGCTCTTGAGACGACCGGGATTATATACAGGTTAAGGGGGGGGGGGGAGGAGCCAGGAAGGGACGTGGGTGGGGAGGGGAAGGCTGGGTTAAGCCGCCTTTTGTTATGCTGCAAGGGGGTGTTTGGGGGGAGCGATGGCGCGCTGCACGAAAGCAATTACAACCCCCCTCAAGCTTCAAATCTAGAATGTGTGGATAAGCCTGGCGAAGGGCTACGATTGTGGTACGATCGTAAACACCGTGAGAGGGGGAAATCGGATCGTGACTCACAGTAAATCCGGGTCTCATAGTGTGACCGGGTCTCGGGATCAGGGGCCCCGGGCACAGAGAACGCTCGTGAAGATGCGTCGAAAGCTCCGGCGAAGGGCTACGATTACAGTACGATCCTAGATTTAAAGCTTTTTGTGACTGCAAGGATCCATACTCTTTGGTTCTATTCGGTAAAGTCACGTAGGTAAAAAATAAGAGACAGCCTGGTCCCTTCACCTGATGAAGGCCGCTTGTGTTGTGGCCGAAACGTCGTGATTTTTGTTGTTTTATTTTTTACCGACGTGACTTTACCAAATAGAACCAAAGAGTATACAGTACGATCGCAAAAAAAGGATCGCGAGTCAGAAGTGAACGTGGGAGCCGGGGTTCGCTCTGTAACCGCTGCGCCGCCGGCGGGCGTTGCCGTCGCTGGGCGCTGCATCGCCCGCTCACACCGCACCGGCCAATCGGCCGCCAGCGGGAGCTGAAGGCGCCCAGGCGGCACGGCCCTGCGTGACGTCATAGCCCCTCCCCCCCCTCCCCGCGTGCTGCGCGCCCCTCGGCCATTTTGCGTGGCCGAGGAAAGCAGAGGCGACGCCATGCGTGGAAGGAACTTTGACAAGTGTAACCATCGACGGCTTGATTCGTTGACCAATCTATATTGATCAGGTCCCGTCGCCCAGTTGTTATCGGTGTTACGATCGGTCGACCTAGGGAGGAGCCCCGACTGCTCGGAAGTTTATCGCGAGCTTTGCTTGGCCCAGCGTCGACTCGCATATTAACGAGAAGTCTCACCGTTAAATAATCAACCGGTGAAATGCATGACCTAGTGCACGTATCGCAGCATGTGAGACTCTTAATGAATTGTTGCATATTTATATATAGATATATATATACACATACGCACACGGCTTCGTAGGTTGTCTATTTGTTTACATCGGAATCACGTTTTAAGTATCTTAATCCGGTGAGATCAGCGCACGCGCGTGGATATTCCTCGCCAAATCTTACAGCGCAGAGGCTAACCCGGCTGGCGCTGTGTTTAACAGACGGGTATAGTGACGAGATGTCCGGGTACATTGGCTCGGTGTTGATGATGGGCTTTGCATTTGCCAGGGCATTGGAGCACCGTACAGCTACTCTCAACCATTCCCCATGCCCTGCTGTGGTCTAGCCTAGGGGGACCCCCCCCCCCAGTGGCAGCTGCCCCTGTGTGGCTCAAGGCGTCGATCGTTCCCAATGCCCCGCTGTGGTCTAGCCTAGGGGGACCCCCCCCCCAGTGGCAGCTGTCCCTGTGTGGCTCAAGGCGTCGATCATTCCCAATGCCCTGCTGTGGTCTAGTTTAGGGGGACTCCTCCAGTGACAGCTGCGCCTGTGTGGCTCAAGGCGTCGATCGTTCCCAATGCCCTGCTGTGGTCTAGTTTAGGGGACCCCCCCCCCCCCCCAGTGGCAGCTGCCCCTGTGTGGCTCAAAGGGTCAGCCATGACGATTGGCTGGTTCGTTGACCCCGGAGTGAGGGATGGTGATTGTCTGGAGCGGTCGACCTCTCTTAGCAGAATGTGGACCTCGCTGCATGCGCCGCATGTGCAATCGGGAGCGTGCCCGTCGTCGGTTGTAGATTTTAGGCTTTAGCCAAGCAATGCATATTGTGACTCGGCATCGTATTCGTATTGTTGTTGATATTACGAGTGAAGTGGTTTAGCTTAGTTAGGGTTAAGGGGCAGTGCTCCACCTCCACCGCGGTGCACTGGACGCGGAATGACGACGGGTGATGGGGGTGATGACGACGACGATGACGACGATGTTTTCCCGCATCTTTGAAAGTGTTTCACAACGTTGCGCCTGGAATTTGTGGAGCCCCCCCCCCTCCACCCCCAACCCGCAGCGACATTTTGAAATCCACGATGTAGCCTCGTGCATTGGCGTGCGATCATTCCTATCGGTAGGAGGGAGCGTGGCGTGATGGTACCAGTGACCGAATGAGTGTGGGGAGCGGCGGCGTAGCGGTTAGCGCGCTGCGAACCCGGCGACCTGAGTTGGAGTCCCGCTCGCGGCCAACGCCGGCGACCGAACATCCGGATCGCTCGTGGGCCTCCCCGGAGCCGACTCGGCCTCAAATCGAGTACCGGTGCGACGCATGGACATCGCCGCTTAGGGAGACAAAGGCGGCCGGACGTGGCGTTGGACACCCACCCTTTTGTACGCCATTGCCGGCCTTTTCGTAGGCGCTGCTACCCGCTGACAGCACTTGCCCCAACAGTCTATTTAAGGCTGTACATGGGAGGGGAGGGGGGGAGGGGGGTGGGGTGGGGAGGTGAATCTTGGTCTTTGTGAGTGCCCTGAGGACGATTGTCTCTGAACGGCGCTTTGTACATTTAAATTATTTGTTGTCTAACCGTTCACCCCGTTGGTGCTCTTGATGTCGTGGTGGCGGCGGCGGCGACCGTGTCCGGGCCTCCGCTCTCTCCGTGTGTGTAGTCGCCGTGTCAATAAAGCCGCTGTGCCCTCTCGCGAGCGCCGATTTGTTGCGGTGTTTTGCGGCGACGGTGCAAGGCAACTGGTCGGCTTCGCTGGCCAACGCCACCGATGATCGAACTTGTGTCAACTTGTCTCAACTTTCGCGTCCGCTTGCGTCAACACGTCGGAATTTGTGTCGACTTGAAACACTGCACCGCGACGAAGCGATCGCTCTCCCAACAGAGACGCGGAGAGAGAGAGAGAGGACGACTCGGGTGGAGAGTTGTAACAGATGGAGATTAGTCCACACACGGTGTAGAAGGTGGAGTGAGATGGAACAGATGGAGATTAGTCCACACACGGTGTAGAAGGTGGAGTGAGATGGAACAGATGGAGATTAGTCCACCCACGGGTATAGAAGGGAGTGAGATGGAACAGATGGAGATTAGTCCACACACGGTGTAGAAGGTGGAGTGAGATGGAACAGATGGAGATTAGTCCACACATGGTGTAGAAGATGGAGTGAGATGGAACAGATGGAGATTAGTCCACCCACGGGTATAGAAGGGAGTGACATGGAACAGATGGAGATTAGTCCACACACGGTGTAGAAGGTGGAGTGAGATGGAACAGATGGAGATTAGTCCACACGGTGTAGAAGATGGAGTGAGATGGAACAGATGGAGATTAGTCCACACACGGGGTAGAAGGTGGAGTGAGATGGAACATATGGAGATTAGTCCACACACGGTGTAGAAGTGAGCGAGATGGAACAGATGGAGATTAGTCCACACGGTGTAGAAGGGAGTGAGATGGAACAGATGGAGATTAGTCCACCCACAGGTAGAAGGGAGTGAGATGGAACAGATGGAGATTAGTCCACACACGTGGTAGAAGGGAGTGAGATGGAACAGATGGAGATTAGTCCAGACACGGGGTAGAAGGGAGTGAGATGGAACAGATGGAGATTAGTCCACACACGGGTATAGAAGGGAGTGAGATGGGACAGATGGAGATTAGTCCACACACAGGGAAGGGAGTGAGATGGAACAGATGGAGATTAGTCCACACACGGTGTAGAAGGGAGTGAGATGGAACAGATGGAGATTAGTCCACCCACGGGTATAGAAGGGAGTGACATGGAACAGATGGAGATTAGTCCACACACGGTGTAGAAGGTGGAGTGAGATGGAACAGATGGAGATTAGTCCACACGGTGTAGAAGATGGAGTGAGATGGAACAGATGGAGATTAGTCCACACACGGGGTAGAAGGTGGAGTGAGATGGAACATATGGAGATTAGTCCACACACGGTGTAGAAGTGAGCGAGATGGAACAGATGGAGATTAGTCCACACGGTCTAGAAGGGAGTGAGATGGAACAGATGGAGATTAGTCCACCCACAGGTAGAAGGGAGTGAGATGGAACAGATGGAGATTAGTCCACACACGTGGTAGAAGGGAGTGAGATGGAACAGATGGAGATTAGTCCAGACACGGGGTAGAAGGGAGTGAGATGGAACAGATGGAGATTAGTCCACACACGGGTATAGAAGGGAGTGAGATGGGACAGATGGAGATTAGTCCACACACAGGGAAGGGAGCGAGATGGAACAGATGGAGATTAGTCCACACACGGTGTAGAAGGGAGTGAGATGGAACAGATGGAGATTAGTCCACACACGGTGTAGAAGGGAGTGAGATGGAACAGATGGAGATTAGTCCACACACGGGTGTAGAAGGGAGTGAGATGGAACAGATGGAGATTAGTCCACACACGGTGTAGAAGGGAGTGAGATGGAACAGATGGAGATTAGTCCACCCACGGTGTAGAAGGGATTGAGATGGAACAGATGGAGATTAGTCCACACACGGTGTAGAAGGGAGTGAGATGGAACAGATGGAGATTAGTCCACCCACGGTGTAGAAGGGATTGAGATGGAACAGATGGAGACTAGTCCACCCATGGGTATAGAAGGGAATGAGATGGAACAGATGGAGATTAGTCCACCCACAGGGAAGGGAGCGAGATGGAACAGATGGAGATTAGTCCACACACGGGTGTAGAAGGGAGTGAGATGGAACAGATGGAGACTAGTCCACCCACGGGTATAGAAGGGAGCGAAATGGAACAGATGGAGATTAGTCCACACACGGGTGTAGAAGGGAGTGAGATGGAACAGATGGAGACTAGTCCACACACGGTGTAGAAGGGGAGTGAGATGGAACAGATGGAGATTAGTCCACCCACGGTGTAGAAGGGATTGAGATGGAAC